GTCTAAAGAGTGTGACCTGCTTGGACCCGCAGTCACTTTTTTCCTGTGCACAACTCTACTAATAAGCCAGAACTAACTAGCTGGTCTTCAGAGAGCCCAATGCTAGAACATCGCAGCAGGAATCTCTCCCACTTCTCTCAGCTGCAACACCACTGCTTAGCACTGAGCCAGAGAGCGCCAATTGGACACAGCAACAAGCCTGCCGCTGTTTCTTTGTGGCCGCGGGAGATCTTAATTCACACAGATTAGCTGTTACCTCAACCTGAGTTGATATCAATTTAATTCCTAGAGTAATGTACTTGCTTTCGAATATCTAGAGTGGAAGTTGTAACCAAGTTCATTTACGAAATGGTCTAAATGAATGATATACTGAACATCTGTCCCTCTTGATTTGTAACTCTTCATGACTGAATATATACTTTTTGTATTCTGCTAACCCTCACGATAAGATCTGTTATGTTTATATGCACATTTTATTTATTAATAAATGTATACTCGTGTATTAGTATCCGCGTGAGTGCATGCTGAGTTATCCCTCTGGGTAGGTCTTCTAATAGCCATCAAAGAATCATTTTGTGACTTACTGCTACAATTAATAATTGTCCCAGTAAAAACACAAAACCCCTACATTTACTGGTGCCTTTGTGAGAGGTTGCCTACACAAGTACATTTATAAGTAAAATATGAATCTACCTTTGTTTCCCTAAATGGAAGTACTAAGTGAACACAGTAAATTTGTGCAATTTAATGTGGTCCAACTCCATTAGCTTCTTTAGCAAATAATTTGTAAGGCTACATGGACACAGTTTTCACTGTATTCAGCATAACTGCATTACTTGTATATGTTTCATACAGCATGGACACATAGCAGCTCTACTCATATTGAGTTTTATTCAATTTCTATGACATCTATTATTATGTAACCTTATTTTTGTAATCTCAATTTTGTGATTTTTGTGATTTTTGTGAGCTCACAGAAAAGACATTTCATTGCCAGCAACTACTGCTGCACGTTGCATTGTTGTGCATTTGATAAATAAACTTTGATTTTGATTTGAATTAGGTGTTGCTGTGCTTCACTAAATGAGGCACCATCTCTCTTCCTGCACCACAGAGAAGCTATTCATGCAGTTTCTGATTTAAAGTGCTTTCTCTCCGATAAGGAGCAGCTCCCAAATGGGGATGTGCCCAGTCATGCATGGCTATTGTGATCAATGGCAATTCCTGGTGCCTGTCTATCCATGGAATTCCTGGGAACATCTGGATTGAAATCCTAGATGTCAGAGGTCATTGTCACTCATCTCTCACCTTGATCGAACAATCAAGAATCTGCAGGGTGTGATAACCCCACGTGGGTCTCAAAAAACCTTTCAACCAATCATCACCTGTCTTTGTTCTGGATAAAAAGACACTGCAGGACTCAGAACTTTGCTTCTCTCGCCATTTCCACACATCTTCAGAGACAATCACGTAACAGTCAGTGTTGTCTGTATAGGGACTGGCACCTTGTTTCAGCCAAGCATCTGCCCAGGGAATGCCAGTACATAAGTATTCAAATTGCTAGCAAACGCCAACGTGGACACTTTGCTTGATCACCAAAGTATACGTTTGGACTCTTGATAAACACTCTGAAAAAGCTTTTTTTCAGTAGTAGCGCTACACCAGAAGCAAACCAAGTTTCTTCCCCTAAAAGAGTGACCTGCTTGGACCCGTGGTCATCCTCTGTGCATAGAGACTTCTTACTAGTCAGCCAGACTACAAGTAGGACCCTGAGAGAGACACTGTCTAGCACGTCGCTGACAGTGGAAATTTCTCCTCCTAATTTCAGCAACTCGAAACTGCACCAGAACTGGTTGGCTAGGAGCCAGACGACGCTGATTGGATGTTACAGCAACAGAGGCTGCCAGCTGGTCTTTGGTGTACATGCCGGGAAATATGAATCCATATCTGGATAAGTAAACCCAATATTCTACATTGCCAATCGAGAATTCAATTGTTACCTCAACACAAGCTGATATCAATTTG